TGCTAACTTCCTAGTTGATTAGCCGACTATACTATGAAGATTGTCAAAGTGAATGAACACCTTGCAACAATTAAGGAACAACTCACCATAATAGCAACATTTAAGGAACAACTCCTATTAATCTTCAATGTGTTCAATGATATGCAACTATTTCTAACCATCCGTGTGGTTAAATCTAAGCATGCATCCAAATTCCTTACAACAACTGAACCACCTCCACTTTTAAACCCTGATAAAAAAGACATAAAAAGGATAGAAACTCGATCATGGCAATGCACATTTCCACACCACACTTTATTAAAGGCAAACCAAAAATCTGTATCCAAAAAATAAAAAAGAAAAAAAGTGAATAATATTATGGATTCAATTAATTATCAGATCAAGACAAACTTAGCCTCACATCCTTTCATATGAAAGGAATGATGGAGGAATGATACCTTTGTCTCGCCATAAGAAATTTCCTCATCTCATGGCAAGCCTTCTTTTCCGCTTTAAACACTCACTTTGGACCCTTTAAATATCATGATCTTTGCAAGAAGCTTCCCAAGCATATGCCAACTCGTATGGTTGTTGATAATTACTGCAGTTTAAACAACTTTAATATTAGGATTTCAGGATCAATGAAATCTTTCTACAAGGTTTCTTTAAACTTAATTTAAAACTTAATGTTTGCAAAGACATCCAAATTCATTACCCAACTACAGTTAAGTAGTCCATAGATCTTTTCAAACTAATTGAAGATAAATTTATTGATGGTAAAACTCTACTTACACCACTAAAGCCTCTGCCACTCGCATCTTCTCTACTACTTCACTTACCCTCTCCACTTAAACCATTAACCAAACAACCAGAGCTACACTTTCTACTGCCATCACAAAATTAACAACCACCAAAACGGCCATCGATCAAGAGAAGGGACTTTGTTTTAATTGGGATGAGAGAGAACTGTATTTATAAGGGAAAATTCTTTGGCCTACTCATTCATTGACAACAATTATTCCAAGCCCGACCACCCAGTGGATCCTAAACACGGATGCTACATCTCATCTCACCACCACCTACAATCATCTATAGCAGCCAACTCGATACAAAGGTAATGAGCAAGTTATTGTCTGGCCAAGGAATACTACCCACCCCTCACTGTAAGCTCATTCTACCTCATCTATACATTCCCCTAATTATCTGTCTTCTCTCAGTCCACAAGCTTGTTGCACACAACAACTGAAAATTTTCTTTCACTAAATCTTATTTTGTCGTCTTTAATAAAAGATAAATCACACCATTCTCTTTGGACCTAGTTGAGGCGGCTGTCCCAACCCTCTTTGCTCTTTATTCGACAACATTATCAACCCAACAGTGGCACCAACAGCTCGGATATCCTCATAAAGAAGCTGCAGCTACTATTATATCAAGTCTTCCCTTCCACTTCCTTATTGACATTAGTGACAAACTCAACTGTCATATTGTGTGTCTCAATCAACACTGAATATAGGGCACAAAAATCCAAATACACATCTTCATTCTCCAAATATAAAGAGCTGATTTTGTACTTGATGTTCAATGTCTATAAACTTTCGGCAATATTCTACTAATTTCAAATTTCCTTTTTATGTGCTTCTCTCGACAAGGTAACAATGTCATGTTCCAAGGCACTAAAGTCTTCATTAAACCCATCCTTGTTAGCTAATTTTTTGAACTAACAACTAAAGGCTCTATTGCTTATTGTTACCCATTTGCACCAAACTTTATAGCCATTGAACCACCTCTGACTCCTACCGTGATTTCCACTATCGCCAGCCAAATTCTACCCCTCTCAAAATTAACCTACCAATTTACAACACCATCTCAACCACCTTCTTTATTGGTAATGACTAAATGCACTTAAAGTCAACACTACCTCGATTAATGTTCTGTCATATAGTTGCTTGATCTTCTAAAATTATAATAAAGAAAACTTGTGAAAATGCTTTCATTTGGGTTGATTTGGCCAACCATGAGCTCATACTTATTGCCAGTGCTGCTCTTTAAAAGAAAGACGGTACATGGTGCTTCTTTATTGACTATAATGAATTAGAAAATGCACCCAATTTGAATCGTTTTCTAATACCCATCTCCAATATGATGCTTGATGAACTACACAAGACTTACTCCAAGCTTGACCTCCATGTCAGGTTATCACTAAGCTTGCATGCATGAATCTAATATTCACATCGCTATCTTCCAAGCTCACAACAAATTCACTTTCATGCCATTCAGACTCACCAATGATCCAATCATGTTTCAAAGCATCATGAACAACATTCATTAACCTTATCTTCACAAAGTCATTATTGTTTTTTTATCATTTTTTGGTGTACGTCCGCGCCATCTATGATCACACACAATACTTATAATTATTTTCAGTTGTCTCAACAATCATAATTTTCTTTCGAACAACCAAAATTGCCTCTACACTCATCAAATTGAATATTTGAGCAACAATGTGACTACCGATTGAGTTCATCCAAATCCAAACAAAATGCAGGCCATCTCCACCACCTGATCAATACTCTACACCTCAAAGCACAATTGGCAATTCATAAACTAATTGAGCTAGCTCCACAACAATAATCGTGATTCACAAGGCTATTTCTTTCATTAATTATGATGATGAACTTTTTCACATGTAGCCACATTGTTGTCAATAGCACATCAGCGCTCAAACACAATATCATGGAGTACTATCTCTCTGGTTTGCTCGGTGGACATGACGAATGGCCCAAAGTGCTGCACCACTTCTAATAACATTTCTTTTAGCGTATTACAAACAAATAAGTGTTCATCAAATTCATTTAAGGGTGCCCAATTTACCAAGCCATATCAATCATAAGAATCGCCATGTTGTTGCAACCTTTGTTAATTCTCGAGGCAACATGATATGACCTCACATGAATTTATAATTTTCTTGGCATCATCGTAAGGCAAGAAAACTATCATTGTTGCCGACATCACACCAAAAAATATGCCCACTGCACACTACCACAAACTTTCATTGATTCAATAGTTGCCTCATCATTTGTCTTCAACATCTGTTGCCAGTACAGTATTAGCTGAATCATTACTTCCAATTGTGATCACATTTTTAGCTATTTTTTGTTTGCTTTATTTGCTAAAATAGGAAGTCAACTTCACCATACCACATCACACCCTCTTCAAATGGGTCGCCAGACTATGGGAACCAACCAAAGCTTAGAGCTTTGTTGGCTTTGTTTTGTACTTGAATATACCAATGCTCAACTTCTTGTTGTCTATGTAATTTTACTATTATACCTCTTTTCACTTCATCAGTATGACTCCATCCCTTACGTTTGATCACCTCTTTCAATGCTTCCATACAAAAGCAACAATGCCACAAGTCTTGTTTGAACCTTTTGTGATTTCTTCATGACTCGGATTCATTTATTCTTTCATATATCCTTGCTAAAACTCCTTCATAAGAACATGTTGCTATCTCCCTCTTCACTATGGCCGGATAACGAGTAATTTCAACCATTAGTTCATCACTTGCACTTTTTTTGGTCATGAAAGATATCCAAAAATAACCAGCTGCTTTGGCAGTACCTCTTTTAATGGATTGGCATTATCGAAGAGGAGGCAACTTTAGTGGATGATGTTAACATAAATAGCGATGAGCTGCATGATGCCCATCAATACTATTGATTTTGAGAACAAGTTCACTTTGTGAAAAGGAATTTATACAAACCAAATTTATGCGGTATTGATAATCGTGCCTCATTGTTAATGATTTTAGCAATGCCAATAGCCATGGCGCCTTGAAGGCCACCATGAGGACATTGTGTTATCAATGGGTGTTAATAAATAACAAATTATTTGTTTGTTATCATGTAAATAGATGCCTTGCTTTTGTTTGTTGAATGCAAGTTTGTTATGTGTTATGACCACTTAGTACAATGTCATGTAAAGGGGTTTTTGTTGTTATAATGAAATGAGATTGTGTATGAGTACTATAGTGATTTGTATTTTGTGTAATGAAAAAAATATTTACACTTTCGGGTTATTTGGTTGCAAGTAAATCAGGGTATTCATTCCAAATGCATGGTTTTAAAAAATATTGATGTTTGTTTTTAGGAAAATGGAATTCAATATAGAAGTACAATGTACTTAAAATATAGTCTTTATTTCATTTCCAATGTATTCTAAATTTGTCATATTTGGCTGGTTTTAAAATATGCGGTAAACTACCATCGTTATGATAGCCTCTGCCACCCCTCGCTCGCCATCATCAGCAGTTGCTGATTCACAACACTATTGCTGCCCATCACCTCCGCTATCGACCGCTACTATAGATAGTCAATGTTGCTCGTCTTCGGCTGTATTATACATTGGTTTCTTTTTTTTTTAAACCTAAAAAATGAAAACCTAAACTACTACATTTATTTTACAACGAATCAAATGACTTCAAAATATTTTGAATATACTCTTTTTCAGTTATACTTTATTTTTTTTGCACTATATTCATTTCTCAGCAAAGCAGCACTGCCTTATTCAAATTTTTTATTCCCTTAGCATTTATTCTTTGTGATTTCTCTTGTATGTTTTTCACCTTTTTTACTTTCCAACTAATTTATTCAGAGCTGTTTAATATGGTATTGGGAGTAAGCATTGAGTTTACCTTTAAATCTACTTTGAATTATCAAATATACTGGTGAGAGTGCTGTGCGTAAATAAGGTTCCACTTTTGGTTGTTGCGTACAGCATAGCAGGTTCATTGTGATGATTCTTCTAGGAGGGCCTTTCTGATGAAGTCATTAAAATCCATTATTGGTAGAAAGTGTGGATGGAAATTAAAAATGATATCTTTAGTACAATATTGTATCATAATTATCCTTTTAGATATAAATTGTCTTTCAGTACTTCTTTACCCTTTTCCCAGGGTTCCTACACAACTACAACTCATATTCAATGTATGACCTACTGATGTTTACATGGAAACAAACCAGGGTGATGTGAGCCAGGTTACTTCTCCTGAAGTTGTCGGACATACTAAGACACCAAAGTCCAAGAACAAGGCCCAGCCAAGTCCCAGCTACATTGAAAATCTCCCAGAAAGACCTGATCAACCAGATTGCCAATACTACTTGAGAACTGGAAGCTGCAAGTATGGTTCAACTTGCAAATACCATCACCCGAAAGATAGAATCTCTTCAGCCATCGGTTTTCTTGGACCCCTTGGCCTCCCTCTAAGACCTGTAATGTATTTTTATTTTGTTTATTATTGTATACTTTTTAATCTACATTTATTATGTTTCCAACAGCAAACAATATAGTTTCTAACTCTATTTTCCTGCTTGATGCAGGGCCATGCTGTTTGCTCATTCTATAGCATGTATGGAACCTGCAGGTTTGGTTCAGCCTGCAGATTTGATCATCCCCTGATAAGCTATTACAACTACGCATTGCCAGAAATTTATGCTCCTGATCCTTCTTCTTGGTTTTCTAACCAAAGTAACCCACAAACGACATTAATTTCCTTTGATGTGTCCCCACCTAAAGTGATGAAATCTGAGGTGACGGATGAAGCTTTGCCTTCTGACAGTGATGAGTACAGAAACCCTCCTGCTCAAGCTACTTCTCCGCCACATACTGCTCTTTCATCTGAATCTCCGCTGAATCAATCTGATTAATTACGCCTGGTCTGCCTCCCTCTTTTTACATCCAGTGGGGGGCGGGTTCATGTTATGAGCTGGGGAATTTTTGAGAATGTGCGTCCAATTCTCCTCCTTTCAGGCTGTTTTCTGCTGCTGGAATTGCATTTACTGCTGTTGACGGCTGAAGAACTTTATATTTAAACTGTTGAGTTTTTCACTCTTTTCAATTTTTATACAAGGTTTATACAAGGTTCTGTGAAAATAATGTTTTTAAGGGTTTTTTGTTTTTTAAATTTTATTTTTGTGTTGTTGTTGTTATGGAAATAAAAATCTGCAACTTTGGCCAGAATCAGTGTGTCCAGTGACTTTTGTACTGATGCGACCATTTCTGGTGAAGATTGAATCTGTTTTTTGATGAGGCAATTTTATTCGGTGTTCTGTTTTGCTTTTGGATTTCATTACTACTGCTTTTCACAATATCTTGAAAACCCGAATTGTTGGGCTCTTCAATGGTAGCTTATAATTCAAAAACTCGCCCCAGAATTATTTGTTTCAGCACACATTTTAGTTGATTTGGGGTAGGATGTTTACTCGGCCAGTTATATTGAATTTTCTTATTACATTTATAGATAAAAAATGAAATGGAATTGGACCACTTAAAACATCAGGTACTTCCAGTATCTTCTCTCTTGACCAACAAAAAAAAATAATAATAAAACAATAAAAAAAACCTCTTCTTTTGCTTAAGTTTTGCTTGGTCTCTTTGGATAGTTGGTTTACTTCACAAAATCCTGATGTATAATATGAATCCTCAGAGACTGAATATTATTGATTTGCAGTGATGATATTTTGGCATAATGGTCTTTAGTTTTCCCTTGGACATTTTAGTTTGCTTTTAGGGATATGAATTTGAATTCAAGTTGATCTTTTTTATTTTTTTTTTGTAATTTAGTTAGGGCTGAAAATAAAATTAGCTAGCTAAACAATGAATCAAGGTTAAGTTGGAGTCAATCAGAGGAATTAGATTGGATTGAACCATACGCATGCATGCTTGTATAACGGAATAGAGAGAATTAGATTTTATATGCTCAAATCGAGAGAATCATTCTTCTTTTTTCTTGAATCCTTTTTCTTATCCTTCTTTTTTCAAACATCTTAATTTACTCTTGACAATATTTCAATATCTCATAAATATTAATTAAAAGAATTATAATTAATTTGGCTCTGATTTTGCGTTAATCAACTCTTAATTACAACATTTAAACGAACATTATTTAACTAACATCTTTCAACACTTGAATTTTATTATAAAGTCAATATCATAATTTAATTAATTGATTGCCGTACATATGTTGTATATGTGATATTATCAACCCAAAAAACCAAAAAAAAAATAATAATAATAATAATTATTATTAAAAAAATACGATTGGCAACCTAAAACAAATTAACTGCATTATGCTATTAATATTAGAACTATGATCTATTTCTTGTTAAATGAGTAAGATAAATCAATAGCATGAATTAAATATACAACCATAATTAATTAAAATTTTAAAAATAGTACTAAGCATAGTTAGGATTGATCAATCTAAAACAGATCAGACTGAGCCACTTCAAGCTATCAATTAAGGCCAATTTAGCCCAATTCATATCATAGAACCCACCCATAATCCAAGTGAAAGAAGCGGAGCTCTAAGCTAGCATTAAGATTCCAAAATTCAATTCAAATTTAACCCTTCAACCCATGATTATATAATAAATATTAAAATTAACTACTTATTAATTGAATATCATAATAATATGATATTAAAAAAAACTATGAATAAAAATATTATACTTATAACACCCAAAACATCGCTATTTACAAATAAAGCACCCTTTTGCATCCATTATTCAAATTCTCACTCAAACTCAGCTTAATGTATATAATTTATGTTTCATGATCTCCATTTCACACAACTATAACTTTCAATGCAGCAAAAGATACATCTCTACGCATGAAAATGATTTAGACAACGGCTTTGGCAGCATACTTTGAACAGATGTTTAAGAAATTATAGGATATGATACTCATGATCATTAAAATTTATAAAGACTATTGATTGAGAAACTAAATTAAAATGATCAAGCTATTGTGAAAGATCATTAAAATTCAAACTACTTATAATGACGACCACTCTTCTGACGCCAAATATAAAGCTTATCTTGTCCTAGAAATGCCATGCCATTGATCCTTCAAGCACATTATAGTTCCATTGCCTTAAAAATAAAGAGGAAGAGTTACGCCTTAAATCAAGTCCTAAGAAACCAAGTTTCTTCCATTAATTTGCACATACCTTCCACTTCCAAGTAGAAAAGTTATGCCTTAAATAGAATAGATCCACATTCAGATTTTCATTAGTCTGAACCGTTCAAATAAATAAACTTGGAGCAAAGTCTTGCATTGCAAAACAAGCTCCATATCTTGTCTGCAACAAGCCTAGCAAGCTTGAAAACTTTTTTAAGAAAAAACAGAGCTGTTTTTGCCTGCTAACTGAAGTGGATCCGAAAGCACCTATTTATCCTAAGGTGTCTAAAGCCTTAAGCATCATCTCCTCAAAAAATTAAATATATGTGGATCAATTATCTATTTAGTACCTCACTTTACTTGAAAGTTTGTTGACCAATCTGCTTTATATTAGCAGTAGAACATAGACTCCAGCACATCCTCGTGCAATCTAGGCATCTCGGGAATAACACATTCCCCCGCTTCACCATCTTGACTCGAATTCTCTGAGAAGTCTTCTAGTTTGATGAAATGAGACATTTGATTTGCAGCTAAATGTGCATAGCGGATTGGAGCAACTGTTAGATGTAAATAATTAATGTAAATTAACTCTCAAAAGGTTTAAAAATGAGTATATGTAGCAAATACAACATATTCACCGATGGAAATCGCGCTTGTACTCCTTTGATATCTGCCACGAAAGATATCGACCGTTATAATCAAATATCTTCCATGATATTTTGAATTCAAGTAAAATGTCAAAAAAATTCTCTGACTATTTAAATTTGGTCATTTTAATCCCAGAGTCTATAAACATGTAAAATTAATATCTAGACACTTTTAGTATGGGCTAAAATAAATCCCGAGGACTGATTTAGCCGTGAATAAAAGAGTCTGTTGAGTAGGTTAGCACTATTATAAACTCTGTGACTAAATGGCTCCCTCGAAAGAGTCGGGGGGCAGTCCTGACATACTTCTTTTGAAGTCTCTGCAAATTAACTTACACATAGGAGAGTGAATGCACAAGGTTCTGAAGATCATCAGGACTAAAGCCAATATCATCAAGAAGAACATGATAATGTGTTGGCCTTGAGGTACCCTTCAGAAAAGGAAGGTACTGTTAATTATCCTTTAATAATATAAGTCGTTAAGTGAGAGAAAGCAGTCCACATTCACAAATCATTACATTTGTTTTTGAGAATTAGTGAGCTCAAAAACGGGTATCAAAGTAGAGTGCATTTCCTTCAAATTTATAAGGAAGTTTCCGAAGGAAAATCTTACAATTGTTCCCGCCTGAGAGCACATGTAGAAGTCATAATTCCTTGGGTGAACAATCCTTGTGTCCACAACAGTACCTGAGAAGAACGCAAAACTTTCAGAAACTATAAACTTCAAAGAATCTCTTTATAGGCATGAACAAGAGAAATGGAGGGAAAATACATGTTGAATGATTTATTTGTACTTGATAAAGTAATAGCATGAGAAATTTGCAGGGTAATTGGCTTTGAAAGTCTATAAATTTTAAGAAACCATTTAGTTGCAGGAACTCAAGAGAAAAAATTTAAAAAAGGAAGCTTAGAGGAGCCGCATGTGACAGGCTTATTGAAATTTAATAAAGTAATAAAGTTAAAGACTCACCGGGAGGAACATTTTCAGCAGAATCAGCTTTGAAAAGTTTGGTATGATGGTTCTTTTGTGCTATGATTACGGTAAACTTTGGAACTGGGCCTTCACCTAAATGTTGAAATGCCTGATAACAAGAAAATATATAATGCAGGGAAGGCATGGAGCATGGTTTACAGGTACGCAAGTTTGATTCAGAACAAGGTTACCACAGCACCTTGATGACTTGATCCAGCTCAATATTTAGGACATGACTGAACTTTGATTCACTTACACCATCCCTATCGTAAGGAGAGAAAAAGAAACTTGAGGAGAATGGCTAACAACCATACATGCATACACAAAAGATACGAAATCCATTTAAAAACAAAAAACTAAAAATAAAATAAAACATACAAATTTCTTCCCTTGGATAATGCATACGTAATGTGAGGAACTTTGGCTCTCACGGCAGAGATCACATATTTGAGGCTTGCATAAATGGATGTGTGAAAGAGTTTGCAGTTAATTTGTTATAAATTAAAAAAAAATCTGAGATTTCCATCACAAAATAGTTGTGATGTGAAATTTCATGTGTTCCTACAACCAATTTATAACATCTAAATTGTTTCAAAATTTTCAAATACAAGGATGGTGATGCAACACCATCAACTGTTGTCTGGTCATTCTACTAATCTTGCCATGAATAAGTGCAGGTTCTGAGGTTGTGGATTGAGCATCTGACAGATTATTTGTGACTTGGCTCAATTAGAGCTTGTTCATGAAATTTTGATTAGCTGATTGAACAAACTTAAACACATTCGTAAGTTGTAACCACTCAATTGTCAAATAAAAAAACTTGAACAAGATTTCATTTGATTTTATTTCTAATCATGAACAATATCATTTAAATTTCCCGAACAAACTTGTTAAAAAATTCAACTAAGGGTGCATTTGGGGTGACGATGTGGTGCAACACCACAATTTTTTATGTTTGACAAAACTGTGTTTTGTCTGCTTTCTCGAAAAGCTGCAGCTGAAAGCTACATTTCCCACCACGTCTGACTACCTACAGTGGTTGATAAAAAGCTACAGTCCGACTTTTTCAAAAAAAAAATTTTAATATCCACAACAACTTTTTGAACAACAGTTTTTTTCAGCAGCTTCACAACTATTTCTCCAAACAGTGACAGCTCCCCCAAACAAACCCTAAACCTCCGATTGTGAATAGTAATGTTTAAAAGTTTATTTTTCTCAATAAGTTCAATTTGATAAGACTCGATTATTTGTCCAAATAAAATACTCATATAAATGAGTTGTTCGTTAATAAACTCAATAATCTCCATATGAATTGAACATTTTATTCATAAAAAATTACTAGCTTGAATAAGCTCTTGCTTGATTCATTTGCAACCCTAAAGACAACCTTTTGCCATTATTTTAGCCACATACCTTTTTGGTGAGCAATCAGACCATTATTTTTATAGTAAGCGGTTGTTTGGTTGGAAAGATTTGTGGTGCATTGTAATTCATTTACAGGGATTTAAGAAAATTATGTGTTTGGATTGAAGAAGTACAAGTATAAAGTAAAGTTTCAATGTATTTAAAATTTACTCCATAGTTCATTTTGGCTTAATTTAGAATTCGGTCGATTTGACCGAATTTGAATTACGCTCTAAAATGTTATCGGCAAATTGTCGCTCGTCGTCACCCCCAACCATTACCCACAGCCCACAGCCCGCCGCCCGCATTCTAAATAAATGATTATATTATTCTCAATCTACTTCAAAGTAAACAAAAAAATATAAAATTTTGTGTTTATTTTGTAGTGAACCAAACAAACATAAAGTATTTCAAATACATTGTAATAACAATGCTTTACAAATCTTTTACATTGTACTTCATTTTCAACAAACCAAACAACCCCTAAATTTCACTCTACATCCCACAAATTTCTTCCCTCTTTATAATGCCATAATTTCCCATATTTTGTTTTTTTTGAAGGCATCCAGTTCAGCTCTCAAAGCATGATTTTAATTCACGTTACTTACAATCTCATAGACAACTTTAGGAATAGAAATAGTATGAAGGTTAGGAAAAAATGAATAAAAATGATGAAAAAAGATTTTGAAATAAAAACAAATTAAGGGATGTTCAATTAAAGTTTTGGTACTTACGTTTACTAGCTCAATGGTTTCTCATTAAAATCACTGATAGGAATTGATTAAGTTAATTAATTGGACCAGCATAGATTGAGATGCCTTTTTCCTTGAGTAAACATAAAATGGCTGAGAGGTGATTCCAATATAAAGATTGATCTGTGTGGAAGTGCCTGGTTTTGAAGTTGTTGCTAGAGGTAAAGAAGGGTAAACTAGGAAAAAAATTATTTGTGAATTCGTTTCTTTTTGGAATAAATAATAATAAAGTAGAAATACACTTCATTAAAAAGGGCATCAAAAGACATACACCTATCATGTGAAGGTATGTTAGCATTTGCACAATTTGTAATTAGAGAAGTACCCAATAAAAATATTTAGTTGCTCTTGGATTTTTCTTTAGTTGTATGGAAAAAAAACAGCACTTTCAAGTATCTCAAGAAGAAGATTATCTAACGTGTTTAAGTGTGGAAGGAATTTGGCTAGAACTTTCTAACCCAAGGAGCCTGTAGGCAATCAATTCATGATGTAAATGGGCATTAAACTACCTTCTATTATTATTGTGAAACATTCTTCTCAAGATAAAAAAGAGCTCGTGTTGATAAGCAGGTGGGTTTTTTTTTTTTTTGTTTTTTTTTTTCTGTTCAGCAATCCCACTTTATTGAGGAGTGCATGCACAAAAGTAAACATGTATTGCTCTTTCATTTTTTTTTAAATTATGAGAGATAATGATTAAAAAATCTTTGGCTTTATAGAATCTAACTCTCAATTTTAATGCTAAAATGATATGAGAAATATTAAAACAGCTCAAATGTTATTTTTTTTTTAATTATGAGAAATATTGATTAAAAAATCTTTAATTCTTTTTTTTTTTAACTATGGGTGAGAATGATTAAAAAATCCTTGGCATTATAGAATCCAACTCTTTTAATTTTAATGCTAAAATGATTTTTCATCGTATCAAAAAACCTCATAAGTTACTTTTTTTAATTATGAGAAAATGATTAAAAAATCTTTCACATTATAGAATTGGACTCACTTAGTTTCAATACTACATTCGATTAAAAAAAAAAAAGATAAAAAGGATCCGCTTCTAACACCCAAAAAAACAACAAAAAAAATTAAAATTTCTCAAATAATTTTTTTTTAAATGCTATATATTTCAATGTGTGCATGTGAATAGGTCTGTGTATGTATGTATATACATACATACATGTACATGGCGATCCCTGGTTGAGTAGCTTCTCTTCGATCTAACCTCTATTGACGTCGCACGTCGGCTTCGTTTCTGCTCGTGCGTCTTTGCTCGCATGTCGGCTTCGTTTCTGCTCTGCGTCATTGCGTCTCTGCTCGTGCGTCAGGCTGCGACGTCTGTGCCGTCCTCGAGCTCAAGCTGATCGCAGGGGCTTCGCCGCTCTTTCCTGTTTGCTCTGAGATAGCAGGGGCTTCCGCTCCTGCTCCCTGTTTCGGGTTTCTGCTCTCTGCTCTCTGCTATGTCGTACCTACATGGCTTCCGACAGATCTTATGCTGCTGCACTTGCGGGTGTCCACGCTTAAGATACATCTAAATCGTGCTATTTCCCTGCTTCATTTGAGTGGGCGGAGGACATCAAAAAGCCTGGTAGAAAGAATGGGAAGTCTGTCATCTTTTTAACAAAAACTGAAGGTATTCAATTTGCTTCCTCCTGTCGAATGAATTTAGTCAGGAAATTTCTGTATGGTCATCCCAAAATGGAGCTGATTCGTAAGGAATCTGAGTTTATGCATCTTGTTGGAGAGTAAAAAATTGGACTGTTAGATGAAAGATATTCTTATATAACTAAATAATGAAGAGGATTACACGTGCTTATTTGTTCGAAGAATAATCTGGTTTGATAACGGAGCAATGAAGATTCTAAAATAGTCTGTGGATTTTGACCCACAGACAGAACCACCAATCATTCCAGTTTAGATTTGCCTCCTTGGTATGAAATTTCATTATTTTACTCAAAAAGTGTTGTACTCTATTGCCCCAACTTATGACAAGTCACTCAAAACAAATATTTCTACTTTTAATCTTTCTCGTCAATTTGAAGTCAGAGTACTTGTCGAAAGAGACTTCACTTCACCCGTCTCCAAGGAAATTTGGTTGGGCACACAGCATCATGGATATTGGCGAAAGGAAGTGATTGAGCATTTTCCCTCGTATTGTTCAAATTGTCGTATGTTCAGCCACTCCAGTTCTCAATGTCACCATCTGCACACACAACTCAAACAAAAAAAACATAGTGTTATGCCAGAGGCAATTACATCTCCTCCTAATAAGCTCCAAGTTATTGACACTATTGATCATCAAAAGAATACCCCGGATGACGTCACTTTTCTCGCAGGCAATATGACAACCTTTCAATCCCCAATTTTATCTCCCCGTCTTTGGAACCTCCTATCGTGGGGGAGAGGGTGAGTCTTCAGACGCCACCTGCTCTAGATATCACCGATAATATAGGTGGCAATATTTCTACTACTTCACTACCGTCTCATCAGGTTAAGCAAGTTATTAATGTTACTCAAGCTCATGAGGATCGTTGATTTAAGTTAGCTGCCAAAAGTAACAACCTTCGTTGCCCTTTCCTCCATTTGAGTTAGCTTCCAAAAGTAACAAAGCCTTAATGATCCATAAGGATTGGCTTATCCATATTTTCTTGTCATTTGATTACTTGGCTTCTAGTTTTGCCATGCCTCCATGCCCACCAAAACAAAAATGATGTTGGATCCAAATTTATCTATTAGCATTACAAAAACCCTACTACCAATACCAAAATGGCTATTAAACAAGATAAATTGCTAGGAAGTATAAGACAGATCACAACTAACCAAATGTGTCAAGCAACCCTTTCAACCGTTACTCATATATTGAGACAACCCGGCAATAAAGGCTACATTTAAACAAGAAAGGTGAAAAAAAAAAGAAGGCATAGCATATGCTTTTGTAAAATGAATGAACAGGCCTAGCTTGTAGCAATTTGATTAAATACAGAACTCATGTTCATTTCTAAGTGATGAGTTCATGTAAATTCATCACCAACTTCACTCATATTTGATGAGTTCTGAGAAAAAGCCTTGAAGCTTGAGGTGAGTAGGTGAGTAGTTTTTGGTGGCATTCTTGATTTTATCTAGTAAATAGCATTCTTATTGGCTAAATATACTTGAAAAATAGTCGTGAATAACTTTAACTCAATGGCTAGTTCATATATTCTTTGGTCACTTCTATAATTTGATCATTTTTATATGACATACCAACCTTGAACCAGATCCACTGACCAACAAGGCTCAATAAACCTAAATTAGAAAATTTAGGTTGTACAAAGTCTCTTCATCATATCTCGTGTTACCAGAGTGTACCACAATTTAGACTCAATGTGTATTGCCATCTAGACCTGGGATATGATAGAAACTACCCACTAAAAATAGACATCCTGCATTGTTGTTTACTGCTGTTACCACCGCAGTCCCTTCTATATCTTCCGTTGAATCAATAGAATTTTTAGACAAAATAAAACAAATATTCTATAAACAATATGATACATAACACCAAGCATGAATATCCACTAAAAGATTTGAAGCATTGAAATAATAGAGCTAACATAAATCTATGCAGCGGAAAACAATTCCAAGTTACAAGCAGATCTTAAATGGGAGAATTACAAAACAGCCTCTCACTTAAAGTGGAAAAAGACAACTTAAGAAGAATTATTGCCAAAAGTATAAAGTACCTAAAAATGATTATCTGAGCCGGCTTCCTGCCACCGCTTGAATCATAAAATTGAAGTAAAAGGTCCCTGATTTAAAATGAATTGCAACAAATAAATAAATAAATAAAACTAGATATCTCTTGGATATCGTATGATGTAAAAAGAGAATCCAACAATGATTTCAACACTAAGAAACATTGTGGAAAATTTGGTCGTGAGAGAAAACAACACATAAAAAGCATGCTAATCACAAGAGGCAAAACAAAGTTACTAAAGAAGCAGAAATAAGATACAAAAAATACCTTAGAAAAAAGAAAAGAAAATCTAAAAACTTATTTTAACTTAATTTACTAGGAATAAAAATGACAGGATTTAGATAAAAATAAAACATTAAGGAATGATGGCAATACTATTTGAAGACATTACTAAATTATAACTTGAATATTTTTTTAGAATGAACATCATAAATATAGACTATCCAAAAGAAGGGAAATTAAAACAAATTTTGATGAAGATAATGAATAAAAATCCTTAGCCCATGAGTAATAGACAGTGAGATGAAAAGTTATCCCCTCTATTATTTATGGGTAAAGTTGTCAAAAAAAATCCTTTTCCGCGAAAACCTAGAGTTCGGTTTGTTAAATAGCTTGTGTTTGAATAGTTTTTTGAGTAAGCGAGTCGAACACAAATAATTTTTTTTATATCTCGACTTATAAATGAGTTGAACACGAACAACTCTTTGTTCAATTGGATTTAGTTCTTAGCTCAAAATATTATTTATATAATAATATATTATATATTTATATGTAATTTTAAATCACCAACGCTCGTGTGGTCATGTAGTTTTACACATTTTATTGCATAAGAATAGTGCAGGTTAGAATTCAACACCTACATCTATTTTTCTAATTAATTTAAACAAGTCAATTTTGAGCAGAATACAAACAAGAATGTGAAAATTGAGCCGAACACAAACACACTGTTCACGAGAAATTTCAAACAAACCAATTTTAACCAAATTAACTTTGAATGAGCTGAACATGAGCCAATTTTGAGCTGGCTCAAGCTCGGCTCATTTACAGCCCTATTTGTCGGGGGCACTTTAATTCCAAATCCATAAAATGTCCAATATAGCTTTTGAACACTTAAAATGGAAGCTAAACTAATCCTATCATTAAAAGTAACAAAACTTGAAGTCAAAGTCAACAGATGAAGTTAAAAAGATGGTATGTTAGAAAATAACTTCTTCAAATATTTATAAAATCTAACAATTTTTAAAAAAATCATAAGATCACAGCAAATGAATGGCTTAAGGTTTGCTAGGAGAAGAATCCCTATTAACATGGTAATCTCTCTCTCCCTCAAGTTTTTTTTTTTTTTACCCAAAGTGGGGGTCTTCCCCTAGGAATTTTATTGCCACAAGAAAAAAATTCCAAAGAAAGAGGGATAAGAAACCCCAACCTAAGCCCTAAACAACTCACACAAGGAAAAGAAAAAGGTTCCATAATCCCAAAAAAAAAAAAAACAACCAACACCACCAAAAACAATCAAAAACAATCAAGAAAGATTCTTATTGGCTAAAGCCAACAAAACATCAGGAAAATTAAAGAAACAGAAGCTTTAGAAAGATTATAAACAGTCTTCGCAGACCAATGAACCACCGAATTACCATCTCTACGAACATGTGTCCAATGAACATTCAAATTTTCAGTTAAGGCTTTAATTCGCTTCATCTGCAGCAAAATACTCCAATGCACCTTTCTACTCCACCTGCAACACTTCCAAAGAATCAGAGAATCCATTTCCATAATAATATTATAAATTCCTAATTTTTTTGCAACCATTAAGCCATAAACCACAGCATCAACTTCTGTCGTAAGCGCAGAAATAGGGACTGTTAAAGCAGCAAACCAACAAATTAATGAACCATTAAAATCTTTACAAACTCCTCTCATACTCGCAGCTTCCAACTTCCAACAGCCATCAGTGTTAATTTTAAAATAAGAAACCAAAGGTTTACACCAAGTAGTCTTAACAGTAATCTTAACAGTCCTATTAAGCAAAACCAATTTCTTATAATTTTCCTTCAGCAAAGTCCAACCCCTATCTTTAAACTGTAAGGAAGTAAGACACTTGCACAAATAACATAAAATGATACTCATTGTATGTTGAATATCAGGAATCTCATCCTTAAACAAAGCATTGTTTCTAGTAAGCCAAACAAACCACAACAACACAAGGAATAGTGCTGTAAAAATCCTTGCCCAAACTGCTTCCATCGCTAAAACAAATCAGTAAAAGAAGAGAAAGTGTGATCCATATCAACATTAACCAACTGTTTAGTCATAATATCCCATATATCAGTAATGAAACGACAATCTCCAAAAGATGAGTAATGGATTCCTCTTTAACTTTACAAAGAATACAACGTGATGACATTCTTACTCCTTTCATTTTAAGAATGTCATCAGAAGGAATCAAATTATGCAAAACCCTCCATATAAAGAAAGATATAGATGGTTTTAACCACCGAGTCCAAATCCATTTCAACTACAATCCATGAGAAACCGTGATAGACTGAGCAAAGCACTTCGATATAGAATCTTCCCCCTTTTTTTTAACAATCAAAGTATCCTTCTTATATCTAGTTATAGGTATCGAATCAATGAATTTAGCATCTTGTAAATTAACATTACTCAAAAGTTTCTCCATCATCCAGCTTTCCTTACACCAGAATCAATGAATTTAGCATCTCTCCCTCAAGTTTATAACCTAGTTTATAAATATTTTTTTATGTGTGCATACATATTACAAACATTTTTAACATGTTTGGATCACCTATAACTATGAGCGTCAATATTTATGTATTCACTTATTGTTTTTAGCAATGCATTTATTTATTAACTTATACCCAATATGTTTTTTCAAAGTTATTAAGATAATATAAGTGCATATATGAATTAACTATGCAAGTTGTCTAGTTGTTAGTTATTTGTATATATGCACTCATAGTTGTATACAAATTATTTAGATAATTGTACATGCATGCATGCATGAATATAAAGGGTGATTCCAAAACTTTTAAGTCATGATATTATAAGATAATAAATCATTGCATGAAAAATAAAAATAATATTGCATATGATTTTAACAAAACAACAACAAGTAGCCTTTATCACACTAAGTGGGGCCGACGACATGAATCCTTTTTTCCATTGTGTCCTATTGAGTGTCATAATGTCATTTAATTTTAATACATTAAAGATCATTTTTTTATACAATAAGTCTAAGTATTTTTTAGTTCTAGCTCTATCTTTCTTAACATCAGTCGAAGTTAAAACATCTACTCTTTAACTAGATTATCAGATGATCGACGTTTAATGTGACCAAATCATCTAAGGCGACTCTCTCTAATCTTGACCGCCAATGGAGCTACATCAACCCTATCACGGATATATTCGCTTTGCACTGTCTCTAAGTGTCAAGCCACTCATCCACCTGAGCATTCTCATCTGAATTTTGAGCAACATTTCACTTTATTTTATGCTTCTCTTTTAAAGGGCCAACATTTTGCGCCTTAAAACATTGCAAATCTCACCATCTTATAACATTTTTCATTTAGTTTAAGCGTACTTTCCTATCAAACAATAGGCCCGAAGCATTCCTCCACTTCAACCAACCAACTTGAATTCTACTAATAACACTGCCATCTATATCACCATTACTCTGAACAATAAACCTGATATATCTAAAACGTTTACACCTTTTAATGACTTGATCACCCATAATTACAACTCTGTCACTAGAAGTACTATATCGAAAATTACATTCCATTTATTCAATTTTAGTTCTACTCGAACAAAGGCTTTAAGACTCCAATTTAGACCTCCATAATTCAAGTTTTTTTTCCAAAGTGAAAAGCATACAACAAGGAACATCCTCTTATAGATGTCCAGTAAGAGCATCCATTACTAAAGCAAAAAGATATGGGCTTCAAGTCGATCCTTGATGCAATTCAACTGAACTAGAAAAATACTTGTTCGAATACAAGTAACAACTCTAGTATACATATCTTTAATGACTTCAATATAAGTCATATCAACACCTTTCTTCTCTAGAAGTCTCCCAAGGACTTCTCATGGAACCATATCGTAAGCTTTTTCTAAATCAATAAAAATCATATGTAGATCCTCCTTAATATTTGTAGATCTTTCTTACTCTCTTTGTACTCTTCCATCAAGACTCTCAATAAATGTATAACTTCCTAGATAAAACTTTCTGGAATAAAACCAAATTGATTATAAAAAATCTTTATATCACGTCTTAACATATGATTAATTACCCTCTCCTATAATTTTAAAGTATGACACATCAACTTAATTCCTCTATAATTTGAATGTTAAACAAAATATTATTCTTTCCCCCACCCATGTCACATAATCTCTTTAATTCTTTATGTTTGGAAATGATTACATAATCATTTTTATATAGTTAAACTTAGAATGAATTAACACTACCATTGCCGGTCCCAAGCCCGGATGAGAAAAGTAGAGAGTTGCGTTAAGTAGTCGACAGCAGCGTAAAACTTGTCGAAAAAATCATGATATGAATCCTTTTGATCTTTGTGTAAGTTATAGGGCGTCCCCTGGAAGCGACGCGCTGTATAGCCTAAATACAGTGAAAACTGTGCAAGGGCCGCTACACCGACGCCCGGGTGTAGTGTTAATTAAGCAAGGGTTCCCACATTACGGGCAAATGCGGGTAAAGAAGTTAGTCCATGAAACTAATGAAACTAATATTAGGATAGGATCTTGGAATATAAGTACTCTCAATGGTAAATTAATGAAACTAGTTGATATTATGATTCATAGAAAAATTAATATCTTATGTATTCAAGAAACTAAGTGGGTTGGATAAAAGGCTAGGAGATTGATAATTTAGGTTTTAAACTTTGGTATTATGGTAAGAGTACACTATAAATGGTATAGGTGCAATTATAGATAAGAGTTTGAAAGATAATGTTATAAAGATAAATTTAAGTAAAATTCAAAATTTAATAGAGTTGGAGATATAATTATAATCCTTAA